CCCTAAACTTTAGTGACTAAACTTTGTAATTTTCCCTTTCTCATTTTCAACAATTACAACCCCTTTTTTGACTTAGCATATTTCGGTGGATTTAATTTATTTATTTTTCTCCAACTTTCAACTTGCACCGAAAGGTGCATTGAATTTTCAACAATCTCCCACTTGAAGATTTGATTAGAACAATCATATCTTCACACCATTATTTCTACCTTGCACCTTCATGTTGCTTACGTTTCTAACAGGTCACAAGAGGATCGACACCAAGTAAACTTATCAACATTTATCGCATTTGTCAAGAAATCTGATATGTTCTCTTTGGTATGAATTTTCTGCATATCTACCGTCCCTTCTTCCACCTTTTCACGAATGAAGTGGTACTGTACTCGTATGTGTTTTGTTCTTGAATGAAATGCTGGATTCCTTGCTAGATGCAAGGCGCTTTGACTGTCACAAAACAGAGAGACATACTCTTGATTGTACCCAAGCTCCTCCAATAGCATATTCAACCAAATTGCTTCTTTACTGGCTTGTGTAGCTGCTACATATTCTGCCTCTGTTGTTGATGTAGCCACAACTGACTGCAATTTTAAAACCCAGCTTACAGCTCCACCAGCAACTTTGAACATATATCATGTAGTAGATTTGCTTTTATCCAAACCGCCTGCATAGTCAGAATCTACATACCAATTGATTAGTAAGTTTGATCCTCCGTAACATAATGCAACATTTGAGGTCCCTTTGATGTATCTCAGGATCCTCTTTACTGTATTCCAATTCTCTTTTCCTGGATTTGCCATGTACCGACTAACCACTTCCACTGCTTGTGCAATGTCTGGTCTTGTGTATATCATAGCGAACATTAAACTTCCCACTGCTGATGCATACGGTACTCGAGACATCTTCATCCTCTATTCTTCACTGTTATGACTCATACTGGAGGATAATTTGAAGTTAATATGAAGAGGGGTATAAATTGGCTTACAATCTTGCATGTTGAATCGTGACAAGATCTTCTTCAAGTAATTCTTTTGTGAAAGCCAAATCTTCCTATTACTTCTGTCTCGATGAATTTGCATCTCTAGAATCTTGTTTTCTGATCCCAAGTCCTTCATTTCAAATTCCCTAGCCAGTTGTGCCTTCAATTCGTCAATATGATCTTTGTTGGGTCCTGCAACCAACATGTCATCCACATACAACAGCAATATAACAAAATCGTTATTACCAGACCTCTTGAAATAAGCACAAGGGTTTGCATTAAGTCTGTTGTATCCAAGGCACATAATGAAGGAATCAAATCTCTTATACCAACACCTCGGCGCCTGCTTTAGACCGTACAGAGATTTTTTCAACCTGCAAACCAAGTTCTTCTTTTCTTTTTCTTCAAAACCTTAAGGTTGGAGCATATAATTTCTTCTTCAAGATTTCCATGAAGAAAAGCTGTTTTAACATCTAGCTGCTCTAGATGTAAGTTCAATGTAGCATACATTGTCAAAACTACTTGAACTGTTGTTAGTCGAACCACAAGAGAAAAAATTTCATTGAAATCAATACCTTCTTTCTGAGCATATCCTTTGACCACCAGTCTTGCACGATGCCCCTCAACTTGATCGTCACCATTTCGCTTGATTTTGAAGACCCATTTGTTACCAATTGGCTTTCCTCCTTGTGGTAGTGGCACAAGGTCTCATGTATTATTTTTATGAAGGGCTTCAATTTCTTCTTGCATCGCCATCATCCATAGTGAAGCATCTGAGCTGTTTATTGTCTCCTGGTATGTTGATGGCTCACCGTCTTCTGTTAAAAGACAGTATGCAGTATCACCTTCTATAACATAATCTGAGTGCCAATTGGGACATCTTCTCACACGATCTGATTAATGAGTTGTTGGAGCTTCAGAACTCTCTGGTTCTTGTTCATCATGTGCTGTTTCTGCTTCAGAAAAATCTCCTTGTTCAAACTCTTTTTCCATATGTATTTGAGTAGTCTCTTATTTTTCAGCGCTATCATCATCTTCTTTTCTTTGTAGTTTATATTCTACAAATATAATATCTCTGCTGATGATCACTTTACGGGCAGTGGGATCCCACAAGCGATACCCATTTACTCCATCAACATACCCCAAGAATTTGCATTTCCTGGATTTTGGATCCAACTTTGAGATTTCTTGGGAGTTGTACATCACGTACATAATACTTCAAAATACATGGAGGTTTAAATAATCAGCTGGTTTACCAGTCCACATCTCCATTGGTGTCTTAAGCTCTATTGCCCAGAAAGATTTTTCTAGGCCTGCATCCCTCAACACTGCTATTGTTCTTTCTAACAAGGTTTTGTTCATCCGCTCTGCCACTCCATTTTGTTGAGGAGTGTTCTCCACTGTGAACTATCTTTTGATGTCTTCTTTCCTGCAAAAGTCATCAAATTCTTCACTTGTGTATTCTCCTCCATTATCTGTTCTGAAACACTTGATCTTATTTCCAGAATCAAGTTCCACCCGCGCTTTGAAGTTTTTGAAAGTTGAAAACACATCTGACTTCTTCTTAATAGGGTACACCCAACATCTCCTGGAGTAATCATCAATAAATGAGACAAAGTATTTTGCTCCGCCTAGAGATGTAACTGGTGATTGCCATGCGTTAGAGTGAACCAATTCTAGAACACTTTTGCCTCTAGAATTTGATATGTTGAATTTCAACCGGTGTTGCTCACTTGTTATGCAATGCTCACACAAAGGAAGTAATACCTTTGTTAAGCCTAGAAGTAGCTTTTGCTCCACAAGGACTTTCATTCCTTATTCTGACATGTGTCCAAGTTTCTGATGTCATAGCATTGCAGAATCTGAACTACATGAGGCAACAGAGGCTTCTGCTTCTAGCAAAGTCTCTCCCTTCAGCATGTACAAATTTGTTGTTATTTTTTCGCCTTTCAGCACCACAAGCGCTCCACGGAACACCTTCATGATTCCTTTCCGTGTTTCAATCTTACTTGCATTATTATCCAACAATCCGTAGGATAATAAATTTTTCTTCAGACCTTTCATGTGCCGCACATCTCGAACAACTTTAATCGTTCCATCATACATCTTCAATTTGATGGTTCCCATGCCAACGATCTCTAAGGTATAATCATTGCAACTATACACAGATCCTCTTGAGATAGGTTCATAATGATGGAACCATTCTCTTCTTGAGGTCATGTGATATGTTGCTCCTGAATCAATGAGCCATATATCTGCAAATTTTTTTCTGCCTTCCACGGTGGTTGACGCTTCACAACATAGAGCATCTCCATCATCTGAAGTGTTTGCGGTATTACCTTGTGGATTGGAGTTTTTATTTAGACTCCAACAATCATTCTTCAAGTGACCATTCTTTCCACAGTTGTAGCACTTTAAATTCTTCTTGCTTCTCGACTTCGATCTACCATGTTTGTGACTGCTGCTTTGGCCACGTTCTGTTGATCTCCCACTCATCATTGTCAACGCTTCTGCTTGTTGCAGATTTACTTGTCTGTCTTCCTTGTTCTTGCGCCGATTCTCTTCTTGTAGAACAACAACTGCAATGTCATCGAAGACTAGACTTGTGACATTACTGTTTGTCAAGTTGATGATGAGTTGATCATACGAATCAGGTAGACTTTGAAGTAGAAGTTCGACACGTTCTTGTTCTCCTATTGTACATCTTAAGGATGTAAACCGAGAAAATAAAGTGTTCAGCGTGTTTAAGTGATCCGTCACTGAAGTAGATTCTGACATACAGAGAGTGTATAATTTCCTCTTAAGGAAAATTTTATTGTGCAACGATGTGGCCTCGTACAATTTGGTGAGATGATCTCATATCTCCTTAGTTGTCTTATTCTCCTCGATGCTTGACAATACTTCATCTGCTAATGCTAGATGAAAGTTTGCCATAGCATTCCCGTCCATTTCGATCCATTTGTTGTCGTCTGTGAAATCTACCGGCCTTTCACTGATAGTTGCTAGACAACCGTCTTTTCTCAGGATGGCCTTCATCTTCAATTTCCACAATGAGAAATTTCTCCCATTAAATTTTTCAATATCAAATTTCGTTGCCATAGCTTCTATTACGGATAGCTCCCACTATTTCACTATCGTGAATAGTTCTTTGGAACCTTCAAAGAATGAGTAATAACTTCTTACTTTCTTATGTTGGAGAATCCACGTTTTGGTGGCAACCACAAAGACAATAAACAGATATTACACACTCAAATCTGGCTCAGATACCAATTGTTGCGAAAGACGACTATCGGATAGAGCAAAAGCGCAACTGATAATTTGAGAAAATAAAAATGAGGATAAAAAAGACACAAACTTTACGTGGAAAACCCCTAAATAATATAGGGTAAAAACCACGGACAACGGTAAAAAAATTTCACTATGAGAAAATAGGAATTACAACTTCTCTCGATCTACCAAGGAGAAAACAATGATAATTCTCTCTTGATAAATAGGAGAAAACAACTCTCAAGAAACTCTCTAAATTCTCTCTAGTATTGAAAGAAAGCTAGAATGCTTTGGGATGATTTTGAAGCAAAATGGCTAGGGTATTTATAGGTGAAGCTTAAGGGACTAATTTATAAATATCTTAAACTTTAATGACTAAACTTTATAATTTTCCATTGTAATTTTCAACAATTACAACCTTTTTTTGACTTAACATATTTAAGTGGATTTAATTTATTTATTTTTTTCTCCGACTTTCAACTTAGCATTGAATTTTCAACACTATCATTGGTTTTTGGAACATGGTTGGTGACTGGCAACTCGTTTTTTTTCCTGCAATATGATTAGTGTTGGTGTACTGGTCTGACAAGACCAATGAGACATAAAACTATTGCACACAAACTTAAATTTCAAATGCAAAGAAGATTAGATATGATTCTTCTGGAGATGGCGTAATCAAAAAACACCCAATTAGTTTTTCATTTACCAAAAATCTTCAAAGATCTTAGTCCTCGAGTCTTGAAATCTTGGTGGGTTTTGTTTCCTTTTTTTCTTATTCTTTTAAAGTTTTATTTTCACTTTTTTAGTTGTGTTTTCAATTCAACCTGTCATCTTCAAAGTTGCTGATAGTTCACACTTTAATGCATTTGGTGATATGTAAAGTGGTAAGCCTTTTCCTTTATGTGAACCTTTAATTATCTGCTTGAAGTGTTTAACTTGTTTGTGTCAGATTGTAACTGTGTAATGATTACTGGTTGTTGGGATCTTTTGAAAGTTTCTTTTTTTTTCTTTTGGATTCCATGATTTGGTAGTTGGCTAGTTGCCTGAAATTTGGTGAATTTTCTTACTCTTGTCTCGAGTATTTGGTTCTGTTTCTGCTTGATTCTTGGTGGAGATCAATGTTGTCTTTTTTATTTTATGATAGGATTTTGATGCAGAATCTGGAAAACTTAATTTGAAGATTAACTGTTTGAGTTATTGATCATAACCTCGATCTGCAGTTCCATATTCATATTGATTAACTGGGAATTTTCTTCTTACATTTATGGATTTGCTGCCTTTCTTGCAAAATAGGCTCTGAAAGGCTGACAACATCTTAAAAATAGAAAGCAAACATGGTTAAAGAACTAGAAGCTACCAAGGGAGGTGGAGGATCAATCAAGGTGGGGACTAAAGGGACAATCAGTTCCTTGATGACAAGAGAACTGGACTCCGTTAAACCAATCCCGCAAACACCGGTGTCTATTAGACACAAATCTCAGACAATTCTGGCATCGGTCGCCTCTGGTTCTTCTACTCCTAAAAGACTAAAGCTGAGGAAATCTTTGGATGGAGCAAGTACCAATGGCAATGGCAGCAACAAGAGTTACAAAACCTTGTCCAAAAATCCCCATCAGATTCCAATGCTTGGTTTTGATAATATTTCTTTAGATAGAACTCCTAGCAGACAGAAAAATGACAAAAAAGCGTGTAACATTGTTGAAGTTGTAGACATAAAGTGTGGGAAACATCTCGGTAGAGCATGGTCGAGCCCCATAACGAATCAACTCAAGAAGCTCGGGTTCTCTAAGCTTTCCCAGAGCTTCATCTAGACCTGCAACTTCTTAACATCGGATTTCAGGTTCCGATAACCAAAACCTGACCTGTTGTCCGAAATTTCCACCATGGAACACATGCTGGGTATTAACCTGCTGCTTCCTCTCTTTTTCTTAGTTGCTGCAACTGGCCCAATATTGGAACGAGGCTTGTTACCATCCTTGCAGCCTAATTCGAGCTGGCTGAAGTACTCAATCTCTTGCATTATCAAGGATCCGACCGTGCCACTGGTGCCGATTTCGACAGGAGGATTCACACTCGCAGCAGCCATTTCAACCGGAACACTTGCGGTACAAGTTTTCGATCTTTTCGTGCTTTGTTTGATGGGGTTAATGAAGGAGGATTGTGAATGAGAAGAGGTAGCTGTTGTTGATGTTGTTGTTGATGATGATGATGTTGTCTTGATAATGAAATTTCTCTGAAACCGGGCCATGGTGGTGTTTGGACGTATACTTAGTATCTCCAAATGAGTTCTTTGCCTCATGTTGTTTATCTGAAAGTGAAGAGCATAGGGCTTGTTGGGATGATTAAATGATGCCCCTTCATCATTGTATTCATGTGCTGTCGGTTAAACTATTTAAGCTTCTAACTACTGTGCCTCTTTTCTTTTAACTACTTTGGTTTTTATCTTAAATGATGCTTGGAGCCTCAATATTTAGAGAAAATAATTTCAGTGACAGAAAATACCTTATAATATACGATTTTAATCAATTTTTTTTGGATTTACGAAAATAACCAACAAATTCGTAACGAGAACTCCAATTTCGCAACATAATTTCTAAATTCGCAACGCGATTCTCCAAATTAGCAACGCGATTTTCAAATTCGCAACGCGATTTTTGTTTTCGCAACGTTAATTATCGATATAGGTAAACACAACTATTCGCCACTCAGTTTTCAAATTTGCAACGCTAATTACCGATATAGGTAAACACATCTATTCGCAACTCAGTTTTCAAATTCGCAACACGAATTAGCCAATTTTGCAACTAAATTACCGATATAGGTAAACTCGGTGGAAAAAATCCGAATTCGAAAATTTGAAAACTGAGTTGTGAATTTGGCAAATTTGTGTTGCAAAATGTAAAATATCGCTTCTTAAAGAAAAAATCGTGAGTAAATAATAATTTGATCTTTGTCAATTTTAAAAGTGAGTAACTAATCACAATTAGTTCAATATGATTAGAAGATTTTTTTAGTTCAATATGGTAGTCACACGTAGAATTTTGATTAGTAAAAAATCTCGTTGCGAATAGTTGTGTTTACCTATATCGGTAATTAGCGTTACGAAATTCGCGTTGCGAAATTGAAGTTTGCGTTGCAAATTTGAGATCGCGTTGCGAATTTGTTGGTGCAAATCCAAAAAAAGTTAGTTAAAATCGTATATTATAAAGTATTTTGGGTCACTGAAATTATTTTCTCCAATATTTATTATAATTTTTGGTTTAGGTTTTAGGAACGCTTAATGTATCTTTTACTCCTAATGTTCATCTATTTACTTATTTTGGTATCCAACTTTTTTTTTCGTTAATAGTACCTAATGTTTGTCTATTTTCTTATTTCGGTTTCAATCAGAGTTTTAGAATAATCGGATTCAGTTGGATTAGATTAAGGTAAAAAATATCCGATCTGATCCGAAGATAATAATATAATTAACCTTATGTATCTAAAGAAAATTGCTATAATATACCTATATCTATATTCTTTTAATTAGGTCCCTATTTCACTTAATAAAGTGAAATATATATTTGAAAATTTTCTATAAATATCCCACTATCTTAAAGATATAATTAATCTTTTTATATATAAGGAAAATTAAGTCTTTATCTAAAGAAAATTGCTATAATATTCCTCTAACTTAAAACTTAGAATTCTAGGGAGGGAAAAACACACGACGGAGTCATATTATAACATTTTATTTGATATTACCACAAATGCCTTGAATGGGTTTATTACATCTTAATAGTTATTTCATGAGGTATAACACAACAAAACAACATGAAAAGTCCCCATTTTGCAGCAGAATAAGACCAGACATACATATTTAACCAAATATTAGAACCCCAAAGCTGGAATCATTGCTAATAGCTTAGAAATTAGAATCCCCATCTCGGGCCTTGGGTGGGAATCCTTCTTTGAGCTTCTGAATTGTGTAAACATCAGTCTTGAAAGACTTTGCTAAGATGTCATCATCTATGTTCGTCCCAAACACCGTAGAAGGAACCGAGACAGTGCCTGCAGCTGCACTACCAAAGGCTGAAATCGCCATTGCAGAATCGTTATCAGCACAGTTGAACTGATAATGGACTAATCCCTTGGGAAACACAAACATGTCACCAGCTTCAAGTCTTAACGTAAACAGCTTGTTAGTAGTGTCCACAAACCCAACTTCAAGTATGCCATAGGTTAGAAACAAAAGCTCGGAGGCACGAGGATGAGTATGAGGAGGGTTAACAGAGCCAGCAGGGTACTGTAAAACAGCATAGGAAACACTTTGGCCATTAAGGGTGAAGATACTAATTTTTTTATCCATATTATTATTATTATTATTATTATTATTATTATTATTATTATTATTATTATTATCATTATTATTATTATTATTAAATATATATTAAATATATATATAAATAATTAATTACAGGCCAATTACAAATGGATCGGCCCAGTTACAAACAAACCAGAACCGGTCCAGAACAAACCAGAAACCCTAAACATTTGGGGGTTTCAGTTAGGGTTTCCTAACCCTAATCTAGCCGGCCGCCTCATCACAGCCGTTGGATCTGAGAGATCCAACGGTCCAGATTGCTCCAGATGGAAACCCTAGGGTCTGATACCCTAGGGACACGCGGCCGCCGCTGCTATCTCGCCGCCTCCGCCGCTGCCACGTCCCAACCGAAGGCTCCAGAAGCTCCAACGCCAGCCGTCCACGCCATGGCTACGGGGTGAGTCACCACTGGTAGTCCGGTGACTCACCGAGACCCCATCTTCGGACCAGTCCGATGGCCACACCGGTGGTGGCTATAAAAGCCACCACCCCAACCTGAAAAAGAAAAAAGGGAGACAGAGACAAAAAAAAAACAGAGATAGACGAGGAAACAGGAGATCGAGAGAGATACAAAGAAACTAGATACTAAAAACTACCAACGATCTCAACAACCATTCAGCAAAGAAACAGAAAAGAAAGGAAAAGGAAGGAAAGAAACTTACCGAGGAAGCCTCGACCACCGGATCTCGTCAGAACCTTCGAAATACCGAAGGTATTTTTGTAGATTCGCTCCGATTAGGAGCTTTTTAAGGGAAAAGAACACCGGGACCGTCCTTAGGACGGTCCGATCTATCTATTAGTGTGAAAATAAATTTTTCCGGCCACCAAATGTGGTGGCCGGCGGTGACATTCACGGCGGCACACGGTTGCCGTCCGGTGACCAGCTTCCCTCCGATGAGGGAAGCTAGAGAGAGGCGAGAGAGTTTTAAAACTCTCTCAGTTTAGAGAGAGAGAGTGAAATGAGAAATGAGATAGCTGGCCCTTCGGGCCAGCCGTTTTGGGCATAAATAGCCCTTCCCAAACAACGCCGTTTTGGGGAGGGCTATTCGTGTAATTAAACAATAGTTAAACCCCGTCCGCAGTCCTCCGAACTTGTAATCTTTACATTTTAGTCACTAAATTGAATTTATAATATTTTTAATTCAGTCTTCGAATTTTAATTTCTTTTATTTTAATCCTTTATATTAAAATAATATATTTAGGATAAATAACAGATTTAATCCCTTAATTTTAATAAATAATATTTTAATCCTTAGTTTATATTTTTAATTTATTTTATTCTAATATCCGAATTTTAGATAATTTTATTTTAGTCATTAAATAAATAAAATAAAGAAATAGCATGTTTAATCCCTATAATTTTGATTAATTATAAATTAGATTTTTAAATTTTATTTTTACTATAATTTAGTCATTTATTTTATATGTTTTCATTTATTTTACTGCTTTTAAAATATATTATTTTAGTGGTATTTTTATTTTATTTGTTTATATATTTATGTATTCATAAATATATATATAATAAATAGTAATTTTTAAATATTTATTTTTAATATCGAAGAAAAGGACAGTCTTAATACAACTGGATGTCCTATTCTGATATTTTAAAATTAAAAATTAAACAATATTATTTAAATTAATATTTATCAATATCAAAGAAAAGAGCTGTCTTAAGGCACCTAGAAGTTCTTTTCTGATATTTTTTAAATAAATAAATATTTTTATATAATTTTGAAATAATAGAATTATAAACTAAATATATTTTTGAATTTTTAAATTTTAACAATAGAGACAATTTATAATTAAAAAGTACCAATTTTGGGCGTTGTAGGGGTGCTAATCCTTCCCTAAACGTAATCGACCACGAATCCCTTTTTATTATTAAAAAGAATGAATTTTTGGTTATAAACGCAGATCAGATTATTTTTTTTAATTGATGTTTTCTTAAAATTCTTTTAAAAAAAAATAATTTTTAGGTATTCGACCTACCTGATCCAAAAGGCCGATGGCGACTCCCAAATTATTTTCAAAACTATTTATTCACATCAATTTCCCCGCCAAGTATAATATTTCGTGCCCGGACGAAAATCGGTTACGACAGCTTGACGACTCCGCTGGGGAACGGTCAAACTTTTAAAAATCAATTATAAATTGTCTCTATTAATTAAAAATTAAAAGTTAATATATTTAATTTTTAATTCTTTCTTTTCAAAATTTTTATATTTACTTATTATTTTCATAATATTTATATGTTTTATTTTATTTGTAAGTATTTTATTTCATTATTTATTTTGTCAGAGGTATGAACATTTCTCCTCACACACAACACTGGCATTGCATAACATAAAACTCTATAATTGAGTTGTCCCTTTTAAGTGGGAGTGAAAGCGACGTCTTCGTGAGAATTTATTCTCCATGTCAGACCTAGCAAGTAACTTTCGGGGTTCATATGCTCTATGTCTTCGTGAGAATTTATTCTCCGTGTCAGATATAGAGAAATGTATCCCCTCGAATTGAACTCGATCCACTTTAGTCTGTGATGGACTAGGATTGAGGGTTAGCAACCCATGGGGGCACTAACAAGGACAATTCGGGTACCTTGATTCTTAGATCTGAAACCCTGCATATAAAGAACCTTAGAAACTCTTCCGATCAGAAGTCATGCCGAAATTTTGTCCAAAATAGGTGTACACACAGGAGAAATGAATTCTGACTTTCTTGTTAATTTATTTATTAATTAAATTACATGTTTAATTAAATTATTTAAATTTAGAAAAGCATGTTTAAATAAAGAATATTTATGTAAATGTTATTATTAAATTTCTTTATTATGTAAACTAATTTATTTTCTTTTTGTGTGTTCTTTATTTTTCTGTTTGCATTGCATCATACAGGATAAAAGACATTGATCCTTGTGTTAATTGTCTCATTGGAAAGCCTTCATCTATGGATAAAAAGTGTTCAAATCAAGTAATTCTAAACTCAGAAGTAAGACAGTGGGCTGAGGACTTACAAAGACGGGAAGGAGACAGCCTGCAGGATGATTATGTATCTGACTTGGCCAGTTATGCTCCAGTTTCACTAAAAAGAAATGATATGCAAGATTTGCGAAGCATTTGGGAAAGTTGGGATTCAAACAAAAAATTGCAGTTTTATCAGACTTACGGAGACATCCCATATTTGCTCTATGTAGAAGTTGATGATGAATTACTCAGAGCCCTAATTCAATTCTAGAATCCAGGGTACAATTGCTTCACTCTCAATAAAGAGGATTTGGTCCATACTATTGAAGAATACACAACTTTGCTACATATAGATGGGACTTTGGAGAATCGAATCTATTCAAAGTCAATTAAAACTCAACCCTTTCGAGTTAAATTAGCAAAGATTGCTGGGGTACGAGAAGAATGGGTGGCATCCCGTACAAAACAAAAAGGCGAAAGTGAAGGCATCGCTTGGACCAACATTAAAGAACTTATTCAGAGTCATCCAGATATTAAAGTACGATTCGATTTATTTGCTCTGGGTATGTATGGTATGGTCATCTTCCCAAAAGTATTGGGATATGTTGAAGCTGCAGTGGTAGATTTGTTTGAACAGCTACCGAAAAAGATTAATCCTGCTTCTGCAATCCTAGCAGAGACCTTCAGATCGTTAAATGCTTGTAGAAAGTTAGGAGGTGGACGATTCTCAGGGTGTACCCAGTTGTTATATGTTTGGATCCGTAGTCATTTCTGGAGGACAGAAAAGGTTTCATACCGACGCTTTAATACGGATTACTCACCATTAAAAGAATTTCTGGAGCAGGAATGGCCGAAAGAAATTAAGAAAGATATGTGGATTAATGCCTTTCGAAATCTGCAAAGTAATGAAGTAATTTGGCGAGCCCCGTGGCAAATCCAAAGGGAATTCTTTTACAAATGTGGAAATTACAACTGGATAATGTTGCTCGGATTATGGGGAGGAATTGGATATGCACAACTTCTGGTTATAAGACAGTATGAAGGTCGTCAATTTGTACCTGTCACTGCTGGGTTACAGTCATCTGAATTCGCATTCCACAACAAAAATTATAAAAGAAGTATCATGGAAGCCGTTACAGCTTGGAAAACAACTTTTTGTATCCGAGCTAAAGCAGCAAAAGAAATGCTAACTTCTGATTATGAAGAATGGAGATCTGTCAGGAAAAACGAAAATATTCCTTTACCAGATCAAAATGAGGATATCTCTATGGAAGATCGCATTAAGGTGGTTCCGTCAGAGATTGAAATCTTGAGAGCTGAGTTTGAAGCAGAAAGAGAAGGCTGGTCGAAAGAATTAGAGCAAATGAGACAAGATAAAGCTATGTTGGGGGTTGACATTGACTTTCATTCATCACAATGTGCACTGTTGAGAAAAGATAAAGAAAAAAGGTGATAATGAATTCAGAGCATTACAGAAAAATTACCAGGAGTTATATAAATCCCGGAAAGCATCAGGATCAAGCCAAGCAACAATACAGATGAATAAAGAGTTGAACATCGAGAAAAGACGAGTTGAAGATCTGAAAGGAAAGAATAGCCGTCTACTCAAAAGCCTTGAGAAAGGAAAACAAAAAATGGAAGATTTTGAGGTCGACAGAAGAGAGCGAATTATAAAACACAAGGCTGAGCATCGCGAGATCATGAATGAAATGCAAAGAGAAAGAGATCGAGTCAAAGATGTAGAAGAAATGAAGAATGACATCTTTAATAAATTTGAAGGTGAGAAAAATATCATGTTCAAGGGATTTGAATCTGAAATGAACCAGTTGATTGCTGAACTTGAAGTCAGAGGCCAAAAGATGGAAGAATCCAATGTTGAAAAAGAAAAATGGGAGCTGGAAAGAAAAAATTTCAACACCAGATTTGAGGTAGAGCAGGAAGTGGCTAGAAATTGGATGCGAAGATGCAGAAACAAAGATGTGCAGATCCAGAAGCTTAATCAAAGAACACAAGAAGCACGAA